CATCCCACTGGCTCAGCAGCCCTGGCAGATCGCATGTGCCTCTCATGCAAGAGTTCCAGACAAAGTCTCAGGATGGAGTCATGTTGGCCTGGCTTGGGGCTCAGTGTGATACTATAATTGACTAGGGCTGGTCAGCCGCACACACCACACAAACAATTTGGGGAGGGAGTAGCCTCAGTGGAAAACCTGGGTGCTATTCCCCAGTGCAGAAGGCATGGATGTTGGAGAAAAGCAGCTGAGACCTAATCTATCACCCATCCACGTCCCCCGTATGAATCAGGGTTTTCTAGAGAATCAGAAGTAACAGGATACACACATGTGCACGCGCACGTGCACACACACACAGACTTATTATGGGATTGGCTCATATATTATGGAGGACAAAGAGACACAATATACTGTCAGTGAGCAGAGAACCACGAAAACCGGTGGTGTAATTTGATCCATGTTCCAAAACTTGAGAACCATAAGAGACAGAGGTGTAATTTTCAGCCTTAGGCCAAAGGCCTGAGAACTGGAGGAAGCTGAGAGGTGCAGATGGAAATCCTCGGGTCTAAAAGGTGCAAGAAACAGAGCAGCTTTGATGTTCAAGTTTGGATGAACCAGCTCAAGAAAGAGAGAAATATTTAGCCCTTCCTCTGCCTTTTTTGTTCTATCTGGACCCTCCATGGATTGGATGGTGGCTGCCCACATTGCTAAGGACAGATCTTAGGTTACTGATTCAAACACTAATATCTTCCAGAAACATCCTCGTAGATCCATCCAGAAATGTTTTACCAGCTCTCTGGTGTTCTTTAGCCTTGTCAAGCTGACATATAAAGTCAACCATCACATCATTTTCCCTAAGGTTTTCCTCATGAGAAAGACTAGGAAATAAAGGCCTGTTCACAGTGCATACTTGGAAGTGCTCACAGGTATCTTCCGTGCAATACCTAAGGGTCTTTGAAGGGATGTACTGCAGGTCAAGAGCCTAGCTCAATATCCCTGCTTTAGGAGACTACAGTAGGGGCTTGTTAGGACTCTATATGCCTAAGGAAGAGTCCACTGATTTCCTACCTGCAGGACACACTGTTAATTGCCTGGAAGCTACCTGGCATATTCTTGTAACAAGCTTGCCAAAATGAGCTGCCTGGCTCAGACAACAAACATCATCCTGAAATAAATCAAAAACCTTAAAGACCCCCTAAATCCAGGACTTTGGCTATATTAGCAATGTCTTCACATCTCTTGCTACTCAAAATGTGGTCTTCCACCACGGCATTGGCATCACATCACTTGTCCATGTCTTCACTGCTCAAATCTAGTCTGCAGGATCAGAAGCACTAGCCTCACCTTGGACTTCATAGGAAATTCAGAATCTCAGTCCCTACCTTAAGATCTAATGAATAAGAATTTACATTTTAATAAGACCTCTAGGAAATTTGTATGCACCATAAAGTTTGAGAAGCACTGCTATATTTGTTTTCTAGGGTTACTACAACAAATACCACAAACTTAGAGGCTTAAAACAACAGACATTGGTCTGGCTATGGTGGTCCTGGTAGCACAACACTAGGTAAAGCTGGAAGCCATATGGAAGATCAGGTTTTGGTTCCTATGTTGTCTTACACATGTACGTCTACCTCTGATCCTGGCTAACTGGGAAGACTAGAGGGAGGACTCTAACATGAAACCCTGTTGAGGGTACTTGTCTTCATTGTTCTCTCTTTTTGTCTCATGAAAATAAACTTTAAAAAAACTCCAGACATTCATTCTCTTACAATTCTAGAGGCTGGAAGTTCAAAATCATAGTGTTAGGAGAGTTTTTTCTTTCTGAAGGCCCTAGGGGAGATTTTGTTCTATGTGTGTCTCCTAGTTTCCAGTGACTTCATTGATCCTTGGCATTCCTTGGCTTATAGTTACATCACTCCAATCTTTGCCACCATCATCAAATCTCTCTGATGTCTCTGTATCCAATTTTTCCTCTTTTTATATGGACGTCAATCACATTGAATTAAGGGTCCACCCTGTATGATCACATTTTAACTACATCTGCAACACCCTATTTCCAAAGAAGGGCATTCTCAGGTATTAGGGGTTGGAACTCTTAACATATTTTTTGATGGACACAATTCAACCCGTAACAACTGCCTTCAAAATCTGTCATTTCTAACTTTTTGGAGACTTGCTAACTGAGAAACACCTGGAACATTTCTGTAAATTTATTTTTGTAAGCGATTTTATAAGGAACATGGCAGGTCTAGAATAAGACTCGAGGATGTCTCGTTTTTTAAAAAGTTTTTGAGAATTCCCCCTGTCCCACAGTGTATATGCTCACTAGAGAGACAGAGACACAGAAAGCAAGAAATCATCCCCCCAGGCGGGGGGGGGGATGTTAGGCTGCAATACCTTCTCCTCTAGGAATTTTGGGCATGCATGCACATGTGCCTGGCATGAGTTTCAGGCTGCCAGGTCCAGGGCTGAAACTATGGTTGGCCAGGTGGGAGTCCAGTGCCTTAACCACTATGCCACTTGCTGGCCCAAAGGGTATTTTTGAAAATCAATTCAACTCAAGTAGCCCACCCAGTAGTTAAACCTTCTCCCAGAATCTAGTAATCTCTTCTGCATTTTTAATCTTTTTCTCTCTGTTTCATTCAGGATAATTTCTTCAGCTATGCCTTTAATTTTATTAACATTTTTTCAGCTGTGTCTTGCATTCTTTAACACAGCATATCTAATAATTTTGGTTATTGTAGTTTTCATTTCTAAAAGTTCAACTCATTTTTGTTTTAAAATAGTTACATCAACTTTCATAGTTTTCTGTTCCTTGCAGATATCTTCAAACCTGATTTTTTAAACTTGATATAGGTAGTTTTATTTTTTTAAATAATTTGTGTCTGATAACTCCAATATCTGATACCTTAGCAGTTCTGTTTCTATTGTCTATTGTTCCTGATTCTTCTAATTCCCGATGTCTATACCTGGTTATTTTTGATTATGTGCTAACTATTGTATAAAAAAATTGTTTGAAGATTTACTTGATGGCTAGGATGAAAGTACCTTCTACATAGGATTTGCTTTTACTTCTGGCACTTCTGTGGTCACCCAGTTTGATGCTTGAGGTTTGCTGGAAAAACTAGGTTATTCAAACTGCAATTCAAGGTGCAATTATTTGTGAGGGTTCATCTACTTATAATTTATGTTCACCTTGATGGTGTAGTTCTTTGGGGGTCACAGATCCTTGTGAGGAGGGTCTACCATTATACTCCCTATTCTGAGTGGCCTTAAGTAATGTTTCTGTCTCCCTTACCTCTTCTTAACAACCAAAACCAACATCAAATTCAGCTGACTTAACAAATACTCTCAGGATACAGGTGGCTGTTGTACTCATTTATTTGTTTCCATTTTCTCACCATTCTATTCCTTGTAATTCCTTTGTCATGCCAAAACTTTGAAGACCTTTAAAGATCACAATTATTTAATACCTGTTTTGAAATTGTTTTCTGGAAAGAGTTGATCCAAATAATCTAATTCACTCATTCCTGGAAATAGGAAGCCATGTAATGTCTTTTAGCAGTAGATACTCATTAAATGATAACTGAGTTAGTAGAATGATCATAATTTCCCAAACATACTCAATTGTTTTGCCTGTCTTCATTTGCAGAACCTGTTTTCTACTCTTAGAATGCATTCCTCATTCCTTATTCCCAAACATTATGCCATTTTTACAAAGATCAGGACAAATGTCACCTTATCCTCAAAGTTTTTCCTATTACCCAAAATCTTAATCCAATGTCTTCCATATATAAACCCTCACAAGTATGAATCACTCTCAAGGTACTTAACTGGAAAAGAATGTATTTATACACATACTAATCTTTTCTATGAATTAACATTTTCTTGTCATTTCTGGCTTCTGAAGAATTCCCTCACTTGTTCTCCAGCTCAACATCCATTATAAGCATATTTTTTGAAAATGTTAAATGTAGTACTTTTGGGTTTGATGTACTTGGAGGGATTCTATGAACATTTGGTCTGCCATACTGCTGAAGGCAGGATTTAGTTCATTCCAATAAACCCTCACATTTGTGTAGCTCTTTAGAGTAATAGGGTACTCTTTC